AAAAAGTAATGAACCATTGCTACGTTATTGATATCATTTGCTAATAAATTCGTAATTCTGGGTCAGGTGTATGGGTATTAGTGTCTGAGTTTGGGTGTGGGTTTGGATGGTGTGGAGTGTGGGGTGAGTATGGGGATATTCTTTATTATACACCCACACCCACTCAAATTATTGTTTTATTTACTCACACTCTAATAAAAAGCGGTTTTTCAATTAAACTCAATGCATTTGGAAGAACTAATGTCCTTAAATCTAGATTGTCAATCTGTTTTTTTTATTCGAAACAAGAAATCAATTTTCTTACCGGGACGTGGGTGTGGGTGTCTCTTATCAATATTCACGCCCCACACACGTATATTATTATGTATTTCGTATAAGAGAATTCTAATTTTACCTTGAAATTCTAAACACTCAACTTCATTCAAATTATAAATCTAATTTTGTTCACGTGGATTCATACTGTGATCGAAATTCTGCTTTAGCTCCAGTAGAAAGAGAATTTGGGTTCTTAATTATCTATCCTAAAACTTCGATGGATTCAATATATTTTCTTGCTTTAGAATCGTTTTCGTTCTTCACGAACTATAAAAAGCAGTACTAGACCAGTTTTCTATGATATGTTGTATATTTGATGGATAAAAATGCCATCCATCGTCTTTAAAAAGAGAGGATGCCATTTTCAACTACAGGCATTCGATCTTCATGTAAAAACTTGAAAATACAGTAAGTGCTATGAAAAGTGCGATTCTTTCCAATAGCAGAATATTCAGTTCATTATTAATAATCATGCAAAAAACTAACTGTTTCTAATCACTTCTAAGTTTTACTTCATGATCAAAAATTTCAATCGATTCAGAGCGTGAAATTTGAGATTTATTCTTAAATTTTGAGGAAAATATAATAATTTGTAATCAAAAACTAGTAAATCTTAAAAAACTATAAACATATATAAATTAGCGCAAAACTCTGAAAAATAGACTCAATGATCATAAAATGGTCAAAATAGTTCACGGACAAATCGGTATGCATTTTAATGACCGAAATGGTCAAGCTAGGGATAACAATGCATTTTAATGGTCATTTTCCCATTATTCACTTGATTGGATACCTGATTAACGAGTAATATAACAATACTTTCCATATAAATATTAGCTTTTATCTTTTTAGAAACATTTGTTATTAATAAAATCAACACGTAAACAACAATATTATTTTAGTTATTGTTATCTTAAAAATTCAGAAGTAATAAACATGACGTTGTAGAAAGAAGTATTCTTCATCATCAAGTATATAGTGAGTGTAATTTAAGAGAAAAACTAATCCCATTATAAGTTTTAGAATCTTCGAATGAATTTTGCGATCAAAATTCAATAAGAAATTGAAAATTACATTGAAAAAGATGGGTTGTTATTTAAGTAAAATATTTATATCTTGAAACTAAAAGATATCTGTTCTTTTTGTGTACTCAAAACGTGAGTACACTCTAGAATCGGTCAGTGTGTCCGGGTATTTACACGATAACTTTTCAAAGGAGAGTCCGATCGCGATGAAATCTTCCACACAGTTTCGTCTCATCGATATCTCGATCGAGTTAGAAGATGAGGATGATTCGTCGAGCCATTGTTGAGTTATCGCAAAAAGAGTCATTATTCCCTATGCTTGTCTATGCGAACATTGACCTATCCCACTTTTCGTAAAAAACTTTTCCTCTCATAATCAAACAAAACCCTACCTATTATATACCATTCGATAGAGAATTTCACGGGCTACAAAATAGTATATGAAGGGTGGGTGTGGATGTCTATTCTCTTTAAACAGACCCGCACCCACACCAACACCGAGACTCACACCCACACATCCACCTTCAAGATGTAAAATATTACTTTTAGAAAAAAAACTGTTTCATTTAGCATCTTTGCACGGTTTATTAACACAGTCGTAATTAACATAGGATTTTGTAGAACAACATTTACTCTATCATTTGAGATATTATATGACCAGTAGTCGTTTCGAAGAAAATGTCCAAATACCGAGTAACTATAGGAGTATATCACATTTCAGAAAATCGACTATACTCTCGGTACAGTGTTTGCTTCGTAACTATCGAGAGAAAAATCGGCAAGAGCTAAAATTTTGGATTTATAGATTTTCACTCATCATGTTCTTTCGTTTCCGATAATGAAAAATGAATGTCAACATTTTTGAAAGTCTGGTAGCATTAACAGATGCTTGATATTCTCATGGATCATGTCTTACTAGGCTATATAAAAATGATTTCATTTTCTTTCTTTTCTCATTATCATTATCATGCGGACATCTGCCGTCAATATTCTTCTCATATTCTTATCGCTACTTATCACCATCTACATAGGAGAAGCAGCATCGATTCTTTCGAAATCATTGTCATCTGGTGTTTCCGATTGTCTACCAAAGGGTGCAGTTTGCAGGCAGGAAAATATGACATGTTGCAATTACTGCAGCATCAACTGGGGTGCGCAATTATGTGCCTGATATTTACGGCAAAAACTTTGTAAACTCTTCTAAAATTCTAATTTTTTCCTTTATATATCGATGAATGCAACAAAGAATAACAAGAATATCGAAAACGATATGCATCAAGACGAGTACCGTCTATTGTTTCGATTGACTTGATTCCTTATATGAAATTTTTCGAGTTTTATTCGTTCCTTAAAATATATGTATAGCTACATCCACACCCACACCCTTTCATCAGAAGATGCGTGGAGATGCACTACTATGTAGTAAACGGGGTGTTGATTCACATCTCTGATAGGATCTACCTGCATCTCCAATTTCTCGCATATGTGATACTACTCAATAAAAAAAATGGAAAATTATTTTTCATGAGAACTAGAGTGTCTATTTTCTTCAGCGGATTCCGAGAGAAAACAATGAAGGATAGACAATGGTCGATTTCTAACAAAATGTTTGTTTTTGATTAAATCCATTTTCTCGCACGTGGCCTGTTTTTTTCGGTTGATTTGCTGTCGCCAGAAAGCCGAACTAGACAATGTCGAATGGACGAATGTTTTGTGGGAAGCATTCAAGACAACGGTGGTCTTACTAGAATTAAAAATGTTCTCCAATGGTATTCCGTGTGGCTCTTTGGATAGATGAATGTCGACAGATTTTATTTTCAACAGCAACAAGAGGTTGATGAACTCTGACAATTTAATTGAATCATCAATTAGTACTTACTCATCGAGAAAATGCAACATAAAGTGAGACATTTTATTGAATCGACGATAAAGAATAATCAAAGAAATATTGTGTATATTATTCGATAATAAAACGAATATTTTTATTTACTCAATAGCAATGTCAAAATCATACAAAATCCTCTAGTCAATAAATAAGTTACATATTTTTATTAACCCAAAAGTTTTTTTTACCATTCGTCTACTATTCGAATTCACCTTTATTAACGACGGCTTGCACCCGACGAGTCAGAAATCGATGTTGGTGCCCCTGTTGGACACGGATTAGCAAAAAGATTCGGATCTGGAATACGAGCAACGATGTTGAATAGACGTGTGGTAGTAAATGTACTGTGATCAGGTGATGAAAAGTCGATTCTGTCTCAAATATACACAGATATTGTACAAAGCCAGTTCTACATTTGATGACAATTCACTCACCTCACAACAGTGTCTGTATCAATATACACTGTGGCACTTACTGTACCTAGTAATAAACTCCATGCCTGTAGTGGTGGTCGGTCGGCATAAAAAAGATTATCAGGAATGAGTCCAACAAATGTAGCTTGAGAAGCCAAGAGAATGGACGGTGAAAATAGTGGGTAGGCAGGAGTTACATTGTAGAATCCACATGAGCCTTGTGAAGCCGCTGTCGGAGCCAATGTGTACCTAAGTGAGAAAAAAAGTGCAATTGTTTCTGTTACACATTCTGAGGACTTGGTAGAACTCAATGGAAAACTCGGGTATGAATATACTCACATATAATTTGGAACGGTTCCATCAGGATTAGAATGTGCGTAGTCGAACAATGAACTAACAATTTGACCTCCATAAGTAATATCCATGCGAAGTTTTCCGGTGCTGATACCAGCATAGATCATGCCACTGACAATGTGTGAAATGCCAGTTGCATCCCATTTGTGCTGTACGAATGAGGCTTCATACTCGGAAACGATTGTAGTCGGTGGTTCGGGTGCCCGAAAATCAGATGCAAAGAGACGCAGCGAAGCCATAGTTGCGTGACAACATATCATCAGCACCAGAATGGCACATGAAACGAATGCAAAGATGGTACGCATGATAAGCGATTATGTTCTCCGATAAGAATATCTACAAGATGTGAAAAGAAAAAGAGCGAGTTTCAACATGCGTATATATGCGATAAACTAAAATAAATATTCAAAGGCAACACAAGCAACACTCGTAGCTCGAACAAAACGGTTGAGTCAATAATTGCACAACCGAGTGATGTCATTGTTCTTCTTTTCATTCGTCAGTGTTGTTCGTAAGTGAGATGCAAAGGAAAACGAACGCGACGCATCACACACATCAAATATTATCCACATAGTAACACAAATATAGAAGCAGAACCGACAAAATCAACATGTTGCAAATAGCAGAATGAAAATCTGCCCTATTAAATGTTTGGAAGTTCTAACTCTGGATGTTCTGTATACCAGAGTAAAATATCAACGCATAAACATCAGCCGGTGGGATTAAGAGAACCTTGAAAATTGCACTAAAAAATCTCGAATGAAAAGTAGTTGCCTATTCAACTTATTGTGTAAATCGGATTTGTTGACCAGACTCTTTTCTCTTCACTTATAAATAAATAAATAAATAAATAAATAGTTTTTGATTGATAAGTGATCCGACTTATAAAAATCGACACTTTAGTATAGAGGGCGTGAGTGTGGATGTAGATCTTCTATTCACTCACACCCTCAATTCTATGAATCAGATTTAGATTTGTAGTTTCTTTTTTGTCCTTGTGAAAAATCAACTGTGCTAGATAAGAGAATAAAAACTTCTATCTTTTAATGCAAAGCGGCGAAAAACTATTAGGAAATGGATCATGGTCGACGAGCACGATAGTCAATGATGCAATCTAATTCAGAGGCGGTTTCTCTCTGCAGTCTTCTGAACATGTGAGGAAACAATATGAGTTAGATAACTGCTCTACTTGGACTTCAAGATTAATTGCTAAAGGCTATTGAAAGCACTTTATCATTATGCAAAGAATTTCTTCACAAGGTTCTAGCGTGTTAGACAATCAATCGCATATAGGTTTTCTCCAATACTAGATCTTCAAATCTGATATTTCAAGACTAACATTCACTTTACTCTCATTGCGTTATAGCTTTAATCATCATTCTTGTTACCGGAGTGTGGGTGTGGTATAGGTGTTGGTGGGGTTGTGAATGTAAGTGAAGGGAGTGCCTACACCCACATCCGAGACATTGGTTCGGATTGCGTCGCCCTCATGCTATAGACGATTTAGCTAGAAAAGACTATCCTGAGTTTTCCAGGACTGGAAACTGGCTATCTGGCTCCTGAACAGCATTTCTATACCAGCAAGTATTAGCATTTTCGACAAATGCAATTTCGAAAAAAAAATGAACTCGTCCCAAAACGCTATAGTGATCCCTTATCGTACCACTTTCCGAAAACTAAGGTTGGTAAAATCTCAAATTCTTTGACATCATTTGATGCAGTTTGCAACATAAATTCTCGAGTATCTTCAGAGTCAGAAAAGCTAAATACATCTCAATAGCCAAAGGATCTGCTTCCCACCTAGGCGAAATACCGCATGAAGCTCCACACAACAAGGGGTGTGGGTGTGGGCGTGAATTTTGGTGGCTGTGGGTGTAGGTACTCC